AAAAAGACAAACCTGAGGGTCATGTTTACCAAGCCCAACTTAAGAACATCCTCCCCAGCTCCCAGTTGGGCAAAGCTTGAGCAGAAAGGTAAAAAGCATGAGCACCACTGTTCTGCACCCTCTCTGGCATACCTCACACTCCTCTATGGTCTTGGGAGGGACTGCAGTGCGCACGCGCTCCTCAACAGGCACTGCATGGATGAACACAAACTCTTCTGGTGGTGGGAAGAAGGGCTCCTCCTTCTGACCAAAATTTAATTCTACAACACAATTTTTGCAGAGGACGTGGGGTAGGAGGGCCCGATCTGCTAGGGATTCCTTGCTGATACGGAATGCCACACCGAGGCCTTCTCCATTCTTGGAAAAGGAAAGCTCTACTTCTTCAGCTTCAAAATTCTACAACAAAAGACAAGAGCATTTATGGGCACACAGGGCTTGCAGTTGATTAATCTCGCAACTCAATCTTTTTTCCCCTTACTTCAACTGCTACACAACTATGCAAGCAATGCATCAACTGCAGAAAAGCAGCAGCTGATGGGACGCGAAGGGATCTCCAGCACCCTCCATCCACTCTATGCTACAACCCACAACTTTCAGGGGCACTTACAGCAAAGCAGCCAATGACATCATTCTCCCCAAAAGTCTGGCCAAATTCCTCAAATTGCCCATTCTCTGCCTTGAGTCCTCGTCCGTCGAAACCATAAGAGAATTCATCCTCACCTAGAAAAATCAGCAAATTAGTTTACCTACACTCAAACTTCCCACAGAGCAGCAAACACAAGCACGATTAAGTTAAAGATAACTTTACCAAGCTGTGGATGGGAAAAATCAACAGACCATCCAACTCGAAGGAGAGAAACCTCTGTGCAGCCTTCTTTCATTGGGAGGTTCTGGGTTACCTGGCCAAGTCAGAAAAGGAACTCTTCAGATATTCTGACCAACTCAAGCAAACTCGGAGTCAGAAAGACAAAATTTTGATACAAACCAGAAACAACTATCACAACTCAGCGTCAGAAAAACAACTGTCGATGAACGTAAACCAAAGTCATGAGGGTTAATTCCTTGGTTACTAGAGCTAAGGTCATCTTTCAAGTATGGTACCTTTCTCTAATAAAATACTGGTGGATGCAAGTCCAGTATAGAGTAGTTTAATGACTAATTTAATAAATGAATGGTCCTAATGAGCGTTACACACTACCTTGGCCTCAAAGCAGACTTTCCCCTTTGTCACTCCATAAGTACTTCTGGCCCCAGACCAAAGGGTGGGGAACTTCTCTGAGAAAAGTGGCTGCCCTCCATAGCGGTCTTTGCTGACTTGAAAATGGAGATCGGAGGTATCTGTTAAGAAAGAAGCAATCTTTTTACTCCAATCTGCAACATTCTAAGCCTTCAAAAGAACACAAATGTACCCAGTTCTCAAGAATGGATACAAAGTCTAAATCTCTTAAAAGCTGCAGGCCAGGAAGTTTTTAAGCCCCCAAATTTCTTGATTGGTTTAAAACCCCAACCTGTGTGCCTTATACATACAGAGGTCCAGGTTCACAACATTTGATTGGCTGAAACCCCTAACCTGTCCGACTTATACATACACGTGTCCAGGTTCACAAGAGTGTGATCCTCTTCCTCATCTTTCACCTCTTCTTCTGGGGGTGGCGGAGACTTTGAGCTACACGTATGAGAGAAAAGCAAATATAATGTAACCAAAGTCCTTTAATTCGAGAGGTGTCTGCATGACTTTATGTCTGTTAAACTACCAGTGAATATAAAATTCCAGCAGGCAGCTTCTTTCAGCAAATGAGAAAAGGGCAAGGGAAGCCTTCAGGGTGGATTGGATCAAAGACTTAGGCCTATAAGAACCTATTCCATTTTTAATCCACCCCTTTTTTCCAGACTCTCCAGTCAACATCAGGTATATCAAAATTGGAGCAGAGACTCCCTTCAATGAAAGGGACTGTTTCCCTCACCGGCTGTGGTAGGCCTCCTCTCGGAATTCATAGTAAGCTCGGCCATGTTCATCCTTCTCATCCCGCTGTCTCTTTACCCCCCGCCGCTCACCATCTGAGCCTGCTGGTTTTGATTTTTCACTATCTTGGTCATCTCCTACAAAAATGAGGGAAAGAAAAACAGCAGTTTTCATACTGGAGTGTAGAATAAGCTCTGAACCAACAGAAGCTAAAGGAGGACCTGCATATCTGTCTAGTCAGAAAAGCCAGGTTATTCCCACTGCATCCACAGAATGTTTTATTTCCAAAGATTATCTTTCTGTCATTGGATGGTATTATTATTATATTTTTTAAAAAGGACATTATGGGCTAATTACAGTCAAAAAGTAGATTAAAAGTTGGGCAATTTTTGCATTCTAAATTTATCTGCTTAAATCAGGTCAAACTTGCAGATTTTCCCACTCATACGACATAAAAGAAACATGCTATAAGTTTTTTAAAAACTTCATAGCTTAACTTTGATTCTTGACTATCAGATTTGGATTTAAGCTAAAGACCTAATGTATATTTTTCAACACTTTTCCACAGTGTTGTGTTACAGAAGCCTCAATTTCTTTCTTTCTTTATGGAAGAGTTTGACTTTCCAGCTTTAAAATGCACAGCCATCCACAGCTTTACTTACATAGCAAATGAACTCTGGAACTTTATACAGAACTGTTACAACAGATTTTTACTGAAACTTGCAAGAACAAACCATTAAGTCACAAGAGAGCCATAAATAATACTGCATCTTTACCTCACATAATTTGGGGCAGAAAGGTGTTATCATATATTTAGTAACATTCTTTACAGGAGGAGGAAAAAAAAACAAACAATTTTTCCGTGGACTTTTGTGGTTTGCAACACTAACACTAAAGGTTTTTAATAATAATCTCTCTAAAGAAGTTCTTTCTCTCTCAAGCTTTTTTACCTGCTCTTTGGGGGTACACATTAAGACAAAGATTATGTAATGGGATTTTTGTTCCAGCACATAGCACAAGCTGCAAGTTGCATGTGACTGTTGTAGAATGGGTTCCAATTATACCATCATACCCAGCAGCAGCCTAAAAACTGTGTTATAAAAGGAACTAAAAGCAAGCCACTTCATAGTAAGAATGGGAAGCAGCTCTAGTTTTCCTCCCACTCTGACAGATAGTTATGGATCAGCTGTAACCATCCAATCACTTCAAAGGAAGAGAGGAAGGTCACTAACTCCCCGGGGCACCTCTATACATTCTCTTCCACAAGGTTATTCAATGGACCCACCAACACCCCAATCATTTCATCAGGAAGTCAGGGATCCAAAATGTAAAAGACTAGCTAAGTATACAGTAAACATACAAATTTGCCCATCTACATCCACTCAAATGAAAGATTAAAATTTAATCATAATCCAGGCAAGGTAAAACCCCTAGCCAAGTAACGTTAGCTAACTTATTCTAAATGTTCTAGATTAAGACTTTCTCTTTCCTAGTTAACTATTAAACTTGACACCCTCACACCGAAGCAGGAGCTGCTGCAAAAGCAGGAGCAAGGTTAGATTTCCAGATTTTTAGTGTGGCTCAAACTCTAGTAATGAGCTTTTGATGGGGCGAACTCTTGACGAACTTAGCTTATTGCTTAATTTTATGGCGAAAAAGTAAACAGTCGGGTGGCCCAAAGGCCCAAGCCTCCAACAGTCGGTCTGGTTGTCCATGTAATCAACAATTCCTAGGTTTAGGAAAAGATAAGGACCGCACCGCGGGAGGCTGCTCCAACAGGTAGCTCGTAACCATTTCGCATGGGAAACCACTTTATTTCCATTCACTACCACCAAGCAAGCAATCCAGTTAGGAAGGAACCTCCCTCCTGCAAAGAGTGGGACCACCAGAGGTAGACAAACCCTCCGGAAATGAGGGGAGAGGACGAAAACCACCTCCCCTGAGGAGTCCCGGCAAACGGCGATGGGAATCGGGACCCCGCGGTGCAAGGTTCCGTGCTGGGTCAGGGGCGCACCCGGCAGGTTGGAGCCGGGCTCCGCTGCCAGCTCCTCACCCTGTTCCTCTGCGGCCTTGTCACCCGGCGCCTCGGATCCCGGCGTCTCGTCTCCGCTCCGCTCCTCCGGTTCATCTTCCTCCCCCTTGCCGGTGCCCTGCTCTTCGCCACCGTTTACCCCACCTGACTCGGCTGTGGCCTCCTCCGCCGCTTTCTCGGAAGCATCGGGCTCCGCCTCGGCCTCCACGGCTGCCGCCTCCGGGGGCTCCGGCGGCGGCTGCGCGGCCTGGCCCGAGGCCTGGGCAGGGGGTGGCTCTTCGTCCTCGTCCTCAAGCAGCGCCTCCTCGTCCTCCTCCTCCTCCTCTTCGTCCTCCTCCTCGTCCCCGCCCGGGCCGCCGCCCGACGCGGCCACAGGCCGAGGCTCCGCCTTGCAGGCCCCGCCGGGCCCGGCCCCGCCACCACCGGCCTCGTCCTCGAGCATCTCAGCGTCCAGCGCCTCCTGCAACCGCTGCGCCAGATCCACCTTGAGGCCGCGCGAGTCCAAGCCGCGCCGCTGCAGCTCCGACCGCAGCTCGGTCACTTTCAGCCGCTTCACCTCCATCGCCGCCGCCTCCTCCGCCTCCCGCCGCCTCCTCCCCTGCGAACCGTCGACCGAGCCCGACTGCGCAGGCGCCGCCTCCGCCTCACGCGCCAGCACGGAGCCCGCGCGAGCGAGCGCACGCACGCACGCACGCAGGCAGGCAGGCAGCCAGGCTGGCAGACGGTGGGCCGCGCGCAGCCTGCGCTACGTAGTGTTTATTTCTCGCCCCTCCTCCCACCCTTTTCGGCCCCGGGAGCCCAAAACAACTCAGCGGAAAGCTGCTTCCTCTCCAGCCGACCCTCGGCTCCTCTGCCGCGGGCGGGCGCGCGCCCAGGACGACGGACTTCCCTCCGTTTACCTCCCGCCCCTCTCACCCCCTGGGCCAATCGCCGCTGGCGGCTTCACGGCGCAGCCGCACCGGAGCCGGAGTCGGGAAAAGGCTGGCTTCGGCCCAAGTGCCTCGTCGCACCGAGGCGTGTGCGTACCCCACTCTCCGTACTTCCAGCGGGGGCTGCGCAGCCGCCTGGAGCTCCTTCGCCACACGCGCCTCCCACTCCGTCACCCCGCCCCACACCCTCAGTCCCGTCTGATCCGATCGTGCTGTAGTCGTAGGGCTTGTTCGGTAGTCTCTGTCCCTTAGTTTATACAAGCAGCCACTTCTTGAGGGGAAAAAAAAGCCAGAAAGGAAGAAAGGAGACTCTTGAAACGTGAACTCCTTCTGGCAATTGTCTTTCTGGTTGGTCAACAAAAGGACTTTCCAAACCCAAGGAATGCAGAAACCCCAGCCCTCCTAGTCCCTCAAGCCTTCAATTTCTACCTAGCAACACACACTCTGACCTCGCCTTATTGGCCAGCTTGAATCGTTATCTGCAATTCTGATTGGTCTTCTATGATCTTGCAGTTTTTATTTATTTTTTTTAATTGACGAAGCAGCCAAGGGGATTCCCCCCTCCCCCCTGGGTTGCTCCGCAAGGGAGGCTAGAGAGGCGGGGTCGTGTCAGTGGGATTCCTTTTCCCGGGCCGCTTCTGATTGGGCTCGTGGTACAATGCGCGCGGCCCTTCAGACACCAAGCTCTTGGGAGGCTGGACCCTGACTTCTCCGTGCTCCCCGTTTGTAAAGCGAAGTGCGGCGAAGAGACTTCGGGTTTGGCCTGTTGCAAGGGGGCGGGGAGCTGGGCGTAAGGGAGCTTGCAGCTGGGCGGCGCTACGGCCTACGGTTGGGGTGCACGGACTGCGATCACCTCGGTTCCCCAGCTCCCGGCCCAGAAGTCAACAAATGCTGTTAAGTGCAAACAAAGAGCTGGGATGAAGACAAGCCCCCTAGACCCTTTTTAGCAGGTGTTCCCGCCTACCCCCTTCCGCTTCCGAGTCAGGGAGGTGTGTCCGAACGAAAGGAGGAAACAAGAGCCGCCGGCGTTTAGACGCCGGCCACGATTCCTTAGTTACGGCCTTAGTTTTCGTGGGTTTTTCTCACCCGGGAGTCGCCGCTTTGGGAAATCAATTAATCTCAGGTTTTGCTGTTCCCATATCTACTTCCTGATCAGATGCTTGCACTTCCAGAGATTAAAAAATAACTGGAGAGAAGAAAGGAAGGGGCTGTAGTAGAATCAAGCAATCATTCCCTGAGAGGCCTCCTGAAGAAGGAGAATTTCCTTGCTTTTTAAAGTCAGCTGCCAAAATTGGCTGCCTCGCTCCTATTCCTAGAGCTTCGGTTATTCTTTCACGTCCCAATTCCTCAAGAGCAGTGGGCGACAGAGTATGGAGAAACGCCTGCAGGAGGCTCAGCTGTACAAGGAGAAAGGGAACCAGTGTTACCGGGAAGGGAAGTACCGGGATGCTGTAAGTGGGTACCATCGAGCTCTGCTGCAGCTGCGGGGTCTGGATCCGAGTCTGCCCTCCCCGATACCTAATCTGGGACCTCAGGGCCCCGCCCTCACACCTGAACAAGAAAACCTACTGCACACCACCCAGACAGATTGCTACAACAACCTGGCTGGTAAGAACAGGGCCGACGGGAGGGTATAATGTCAAGGCCGGTACATGAAAGTTTGAGAGTATTGGGAAAAACACTGACGGCTCTTCTGTCTTTATCTAGTTATTCTGCCATGAATTGCAATATACTTTCAGTCTGTGGGGCTCTAATTGAGTTTCGGTGCTTCTCAGACTTCACTTGGAGGGTTTTTTTAAACACAATTTCCTGAGCCTACCATGATTCCGATTTAATAGGTCTGAGGTTTGTGAGTTTGTAATTGTGTGTACCAATTGCTTTTCTATCAGACTCCCAGGTGATGGCTAGTAGGTTTAAGGAATTTTGCACGACTTCCTGGTGGCTCAGATGGTAAAGCGTCTGCCTGCAATGCGGGAGGGAGAAGGCAATGGCAACCCACTCTAGTACTCTTGCCTGGAGAATCCCATGGACGGAGGAGCCTGGTGGGCTGCAGTCCATTGGGGTCGCTAGGAGTCGGACATAACTGAGCGACTTCACTTTCCTTTTTCACTTTCATACATTGGAGAAGGAAATGGCAACCCACTCCAGTGTTCTTGCCTGGAGAATCCCAGGGACGGGGAGCCTGGTGGGCTGCCATCTATGGGGTCACACACAGTCGGACGCGACTGAAGCGACTTGGCAGCTTGGCAGTGCGGGAGACCTGGATTCAATCCCTGGGTCGGGGAGATCCCCTGGAGAAGGAAATGGCAACCCACCCCAGTATTCTTGCCTGGAAAATCCCATGGATGGAGGAGCCTGGAGGGCTACAGTCCATGAGGTCGCAAAGAGTTGGACATGATCGAGGAGCTAACACACAGAAAATACTGAACCTGATGCTGAGCTCAGCTTGTTTGTACACTGGTACCGAATCAAATCTCAGAGACAGAGTTTTGGGTGAAGTAGAAAAGAATAGCTCTATTGTTTTGCCAGGCAAAGGGGAACACAGCAGGCTCCTGCCTTCAAAACCGAGTCCCCACCTGGGGAAGATACTGTGAGATTTTATATTAATTGTCCAAAGAATGTAATCATCTCAAGGACATTTTTTCTAATGGGTTGGTGGTGAGTTAAGTAAGAGTTAGCATCATTGACCTTCAGGTTCAGCTGGTCTGGGGTCTACGCTGCTCCCGGGTAGCATACCTTTGTTAATTATTAACTTCTCCCATCTGGATGTGGTGTCGGTATCCGGAAACTAGCTTAAGATATTGTTGAAGACTGTCCTTGGGGAAACAGGACCTTGCCTCAAGGCTGCTCTTGACTGCTCTCCTTTGTCTCCCAACCCCACCCTTCCCTAATTAACAATTCCTTGAATCTGCCCTTCAGAACTTAGGGAAGGTCATGGAGGCTGAATGCAGACTATTTCCTATAATCAAAGAAATGGCAGACACAAAAAGCCCTTGTGCCCAGGAGCCCCAAAGGACCCTGCACAGTATCAAACCTATGTTTAGACCGTTGTTTCTTTAATATTTAAAATTTAGGAAAGAAGGCACTTGCTTCAGCTGGTAATGTAAGTCATCAATTTTAGATGTTTTGGATAGCTTTTCCTCATTTTCCTCCTTCCTATATAAAGCAGCTAGATGATACCTTGAGTAACTTGTACCTTCCATATCCAGCTGGCCTTGCATGGAGAAATAAAGTCCAGAGTTAGTATCACTTGGATTAATCTGCTGAAAGAAAGGAGACTTCTGAAGTCGGTTCTGTGGCAGGCAAAGTAACCATAGAGCTAATTAAGTTGTTTTGAAGTATATACTTTGTAATCATTGTTTAAATTTTTTTTCTTTTTTACTACCCTGGTCCGCAATGATTTGGTGAAATTCTAGCTTTTTTACAGAGTGTGTCCAAAACTATTCTTAGACTCAAGTAACAGTAATTATAGTAGCTACTATTTCAGTTCATTCAATTATTTTTTGAATAAATTAATATTTATTGATATACTGGGTATATCACAGTATAGTAAAACAGATAAAGGAGAGAGTTGTGAGTTAAGTTTTACCTGGGGCAGAATGAGGACTGCAGCCCAGGAGACAGCACCTCAGACAGCTTAAAAAAAAAACTGCTCCAAAGAAGCAGTGTGGGGAGTCAGTATATAAGATTTTGGTGAAGGGGGAGGGAGTTCAATCTAAAGACCTGTTCCACCTGTTTTCCTGGGGCACGAAGTGCCTTATTCTCCACTCTGAACTCCCTCAGGGCATGTCAAGGCCTGCAGCTGCAGTAGCCCAGGATTCAGCCTCCTGCTGTTGGCAAGCACCCATTTATAGTTGACAAAGATGATAAGTAACATGGAAAAGGATAAAGAAGAAAATGGGTATATGGACTTCCCTGGCAGTCCAGTGGTTAGGATGCCATGCTTCTAAAGCAGAGGGTGCCAGTTCAATCCTTGGTGGAAACACAAAGATCCCACATGCAGCATGGCATAGCCAAAAGAAAGAAAATGGGAATAGTGAGTGCCATAGGCATGGTAGTGGTTAGGGAAGGCTCATTAAGGTGACATTTATGAAATGCCAGTATAAGCCCTTGATACATATATACATATAAACCTTAAGTGTCACAGCAATCCTTTGAGGTAGATTTAAGGAACATCTAGTAAGTGGTGGAGCTAAAATTAAACCTGACAAGTCCACTTTTTTGTGGCTGTGCTGGGTCTTTGTTCCTGCGAGGACTTTTCTCTAGTTTGGTGAGCGGGGGCCACTCTAGTTGAGGTGCTTGGGCTTCTCATTGGGGTGGTTTCTCTTGTTGTGGCTCATGGGCCCTAGATCACAAGCTCGATAGTTGTGAGACATGGGCTTACTTGCTCTCTGGCATGTGGGATCTTCCCGGGTCAGGGATCGAACCCATGTCTCCTGTATTGGCCAGTGGATTCTTTACCACTGAGCCACCAGGGAAGCCTCTATACTTAAGTTCTTATTGCAGAATACTATATATTAGAGAATAGAATACACCTTGGGGAATTGGCCAGAAATCAAGGAAATGAGATACATACTCATCTTGACTGTCCAGGTGGACCTGAAGGCAGAGACTGGGGCTTATCCATCTGTAGACCCTCTGCTTGGAGGTTCTTGGTAGATGTTTCCTAAAGACTCACTAAAATTAAGAAATTTCACTTACATGACAGTGACATTTACGTGTTGGGCAGTTTATTTATAGTACCTCTCATCTTCACAAAAATTCTGCAAGGTGGTAATGATTTTCCCCACTTCACAGATAAGGAAATCAGACCTCATCGCTAAAACCCTCCAATGGCATCTTATTATACTTAGGAAAATATTCACAACCTGGCATGATCTAGCTCCCCCGTAGACTGAATTCAGAAAGCATACACCCACCTTCCGGCTTGGTAGGCTCTCTTCTCTTGGCTGGAATGCCCTGTCCCTTGAATGACCCTTGTCATTCACATCTTGGCCCCAAAGTCACTTTCTCAGGGACGCCTTCTGTAATCAAGCATCACTCTGACCTCATTCAGTCTCTGTCCCAGTACAGTTCTGTTTTCCACAAAGCACTAACAAATAAGTGAATTTGTTAGTGTGTTCCTCCTCCCTGGGAATTAGGATGCAAGCTCTAATCACTCACCAAGGTGTCTTATCTTGTTCCTCCTTTTCTCCTCCTCCTACTTCCACCTAGCACATGGTCATTACCCTAGAACTAGTTGTAGAATGAAGGAACGATGGGTTACATCACGGTAACCTGTCAGTGATGGGTTAGTTGAACGCTGGGGAAACACCTAAGTATGAACCATATGGCCACTTGGTGGGGATGTTGTAGAAGGGATGCAGACATCAGCCCTGATACTTCTTCCTTCCCAGCACATGATTTAATAATGCAGTGTGTAATTCCCACAGTTGTTAAACAGGAAATGCATTTCCCTTAATTACAGAAAGACAGAACATTGACCTGAAAATTGTCTCCTACACAGATTTGTGCTTTGAGGTCCCATCCTTTTATTCAAGGAATTCGTGAGATAATATATCATCATTGAGAAGGGTAATTTTTGAGTTAGTCTTTGGTTCAGATTTCTTACTCATTCCACCTAGAAGCTGTGGGATCCTAGACAAGTTACTTTACCTTTGTGAGCCTTAATTTCTTCATCCATTAAATGGAGATGCTAATACATACTGACTTCAGAGGGTAGATGAGAAGATGAAACAAGCCCCTGGCACAGTGCTTACTGTTTACTCACACTATTAATGGCAGTGGTGGTTGTTACTAGGACCTCAGGATAAGAATTGTGGTGAAATGGGAGATTCAAGATAGAGAGCCTTGGGTAGAAGAGAGACAATGAAGAGTTTTAAATATTTTTTTTTTTTTTTTGCCATGTGGCATGCCAGATCCAGTTCCCAAGCAAGGATCAAACCCCTGCCCCCCAAGAGTTCCAACCACTGGACCGCCAGGGAAGTCCCCGTAAATTTAAAGTATAGTCTAATCAACTTTTAAAAAATTATTTAATATGGCTGCGCAGGTTTTTCTGTAGGTGCAGTGCCTTGGGCTTCTTTGTGGGGTGGCTTCTCTTGTTGCAAAGCACAGACTCTAGGGCACTTGGACTTGAGTAGTTGCTGCGGGTGGGCTCAGTAGTTGAGCTCCCAGGCTCTGGAGCACAGGCTTAGTAGTGGTCATACAAGGGCTTAGTCTCTCCGTGGCACGTGAGATCTTTCCGGATCAGGGCCCATATCTCCTGCATCGGCAGGTGGATTCCTAACCACTGGACCATGAGGGAAGCCCTAGTCTTAGCAACTTTTATAGCTAGGCCTGACCCACGCTAGGTATTGGGTTGGCCAAAAAGTTTGAGTTTTTCCATAATATCTTGCAGAAAAACCCGAACAAGCTTTCTGGCCAGCCCAACACACAATGGGCTTTTGCTCGATAGTAAAGTAGACTGAGGTATGTAAAACTTGTATTCACTGCCACATCCCCAATGGCTAGAATAACGTCTGACACATGGTGGACACGTAAATGTATTTGTTGGGTGAGTGAATGTTGTTGATAGCATCCTGGATTTGGTACTGCCTTGTGTTGGGCAATGGAACATCATGTAATAAGGTCCTCTTCTCTCTTCCTTCCATTTGCCACCATTAGCCTGTCTCCTTCAGATGGAACCAGTAAACTATGAGCGAGTGAAAGAATACAGCCAGAAAGTCCTGGAGCGGCAGCCTGATAATGCCAAGGCCTTGTATCGGGCTGGAGTGGCCTTTTTTCACCTGCAGGACTATGACCAGGCCCGGCACTACCTCATGGCTGCTGTCAATAGGAAGCCCAAAGGTGAGAGAAGGGGGCTGAAGTGGGAAGCACAAAAAACGTTCTATTGAGGTAGTATCTGTGGGAGAGGATTTTAGTTCATTTTTCAATGTATTGTGGAAAATAGGTAATAATATATTCACCCATTCAATATTCAAAAAGTATAAAAAGATGTATGACAATGTATGACATACAGGCCTTCTACTCATGAATTCCAAGTTTCAATTCCTATATGGAGACTAAAATAGGATCTAGGTTCCAATGAATAAACTTGATAATCCTTGTTTCTACCAGTTCTCCAGTTGAGGTCTGGCTTTTGCATGGCTATCCATTTATCCTTTAGCTCGACTAACCCCAGGTATGACCTTGGACAGGCTTCCTGAGAATTTGAGGCTTGTTTTCAAGGCAAAATGGATATCGTCAAGAGAATGATAAACTTGTTCCTGTGTTGGTGGTTCAGCTCTGAAAATTGTCTCCAATTTTGCATTATGGCTTAGAGCAGCTACTGAAGTTAAGAGGGTCCCAAAATGTAAAATAATTCAGCAGAACCACTCTATTTGAATGGAGAAGTCACTAAAGTGTCAGTTACCCGGGTCTCCTGCGTTGCAGGCAGATTCTTTACCATCTGAGCCACCAGGGAAGCCCAGAAAAGTCATTATAAATTAATAAAGATATAAAATATGAACCATTGCTCATGTTTCTTATCTTCAAGTACACAGATTAACTGCTACCCATGCATAGTAGGTTTAGAGGCAATGCTCTTAAAATTACTGTTTCTTCCAGCTCCTTTTCATTATTAAGTTAGAAACCAGCCCAGCCTTGTGCAATAATTTTTAAAATATATATATTTATTTATTTGGCTGCATCAGGGTTTATTGCCACATGTGACCTCTCTAGTTGTGGCACAGGGACTTAGTTGCTGCACATGTTGAAAATAGGTGATAATACATGTTGTGGGACGGCTAAGTCCCTGTGCCACAACTAGAGAGGATCTTAGTTCCCTGATCAAGGATCAAACATTTGGCATTGGAAGGTAGATTCTTAACCACTGGACCACCAGGGAAGTCACTATACAAGATTCTTTAAAAATTAAAAGTGGTATTAATGAATGAAATGTACTGTTGCATAGAATAGTTGTGATATACGCAGATCTTAGAAATTTTAAGAAATGGAAGTGTGTTCACAATCCTCTCCTGCCTGGAGGTACAATTACACGGTCTGTCTCTGATTGCCTCCTTTGTCCTGTTCTAAGATGCCAATGTCCGGAGGTACCTTCAGCGGACACAGTTGGAACTCAGCAGCTACCATCGGAAAGAGAAGCAGCTCTACCTGGGCATGTTTGGTTAAAGGAAGAACAATGCCCTTCCAGTTGAACTTAGATGAACCATTAAAGACCCATCAAAGGGAAACCTGAGCCTCAGCAAGAGAAGTTAACCCCATACCTCTGACTGAGGTGAACTTCTGTTTTGTTTCTAGTGCTGCCCAAACTTCTATCACTTGCATAGTCTGTGTTTTTGTTTCTCCATCTTTCTATTTATATGGCTTTTAATATATGGTATTATATATCAGAAACATTTGCCTTGAGAAATACAACCAGAAAACATTCATCAGCTATGGGTGGATTAATCAGAGCTCTGGCATAGATTTTGATGATAGATGTTGGTAGATGTAGTCATGTACAAAGGAGAAGGCTTAGCAGAAGATGAAGTAATAAGGACAGGCAGAAAGCAGTTTTTTTCCTTCATTTCCTCAGATTCCTAAAGCCAAAATGGGAAGCCTTTACACAGGTCACAAACTGGCAAATATATGCTGTGAAACTAGACAATTATAGATTGGACCCACATGCCTCAAAATGAAAGATTTAAAAGTAACTGCTTGATTAACTCCTTTTTCTTAATGTTCCACATACATCGAGATTCTTTATCCTCCACAAAAGTATCTAGTTCCTCTTGTTTCTCTGGATAATTTCTAGCTATTGTAGCCTTGCTATTGTTCACACTCAGATCATTAATATAGTATACTTATTTATTTTTTTCTATTAAACCCTTCTATCTTAAAACCCCTGGAGTCAAGCATCTAAGTATATATTTTATAACCGTTCAAAAAGACCTCATGCCAGAAAACTCATTAACACTTTAATTTTTAATAGGTGCATACCTGTAGCATGCTCATTTCTCTAATAAAGGAAAGACAGTTTACCAAGTCTTCTGAAAACGATACAATAAAGAACAGGATAGAAACATAGATCTGTTTTTTACCTGTCACCTTGTATTTCTTAAGAACTCCATTCCTTAAAGAGGAGGGAAAGTGAGGAAAGGTTCTCTTTGCTTTGTGCCTTTTAAGCACCGACAGAACTTTCTGGAAACTTGGTGCAGGCTGCAGGTGCAGGCTGCAGATCTGGTCCAGATGGCTCAGTAGGAGGCTTCCTCAACCGGGAGCTCCTTTCTCATTTTGCACACTTATTCTAATGTCCACAGTGTATGAGTTATACAGAGCAGATGAGATCATAATAGCTCTGTGTCTATATTTATGAATGAAAGTAATAAGTATATGTCATTAGCCATCATATAAACACAGTTTTCAGACAAAAACTTCTTGGTCTTGCCAAGTGTACACGAGCTCCTCCCTCTTAATCAGTAATGTGTCTCTCTCAATGAGCTAGGCTCCTCTCTATGTCTCCCTGTACTCTTAAATAGTACAACCATCAGCTTATAACAAAAAGTCTTTTTTTTTTTTTTTTTTAAACAAAAAGTCTTTATACCAAATAGTCTTTTAAGTCCAAGGACACAGCTAACAAAAGAGGAATATTTTATTCCTCTTCCAAGCTTCTTAAATTTCCAAGCCTAGACTGTTGCCAAATTATGTCATGGTTATGTGTTATCTTTGGGGCTGGTTTTGCTTTCTGATTTTATTTTTTTTTTTCCCCCGAGACTTGATGTTACAGTAAGCTATGTTCTGTATCAATGAGGAAAAAATAAAGCTGATATTTAAAAATGTATTGTAGATGTGTATTGCACTAATCTTTTTTTTTTTTCTTTTTAGCATTACTAAGAGACAAAGTGGTCAGACTTACATTTTGGTCTTTAATTTGAAGGCCAGCTCTAACAAAGATGTTAATGAATGGGAAAGTGGACAAAGGTAGGCAGTCAGATATGGGTCTGGAGGAGGTCTGCCCAGCCCACATCCTGAAGCAATCAGGTGGCTAAATCTGTGTACTCGGAAGTTTGTGGAGGGGGAAGCAGTGCACCTGGCCAGTCCTTAAGGGTTTCCACACAGGATTTGAGGCTTTGATTGAAGAGAAAGCATTCACGGTGATGTGAAGATTCGTACTTGGGCACATAAGGAACAATTGAAAATGGTGTTTCCCCCAAACCAATACCCACCATCTTTACAATTTTGCCAAAATAACACACACCTATATTACTTTTTAGTCAACATTTTATTTAAATATATATTTTGAAAGGAATTTTTGGACAGAGGAACATGTTAAATGATACCATAGGAAGGTAATCAGCAAACCCCAGGCTGAAACCATAAGATGCAAAAACCAATTTCTGCAATAAATTGCAAGGAAAAGGAGAGGGGATTCTATATCTTAAAAAGAGGTTTGAGACACATCAACCAAATAAATATGACTCTACTTTGGATTCTTATTTGAAGAAAATTAAAAGTTTATGAAACTGAAATAATGAAAAAAAATTATACATATAGGTCTCCGAAGTCCTGGCACAGAGCTCCTAAAACCCTTAGAATTTGGATTCTGATTGAAAAAAAAAAAAAAAAAGAACTTTATGGGACAATCAGGAAGCTCTGAACAAGAATTATCAGTTTTGTTGGGTGTGATCATAGTGGTTGTTGTTTAGTCATTCAGTCGTGTCTGACTCTGTGACACCATGGACCATATCCCAACAGGCTCCTCTGTTCATGGGAATTTTCCAGGCAAGATTACTGGAATGGGTTGCCATTTCCTTCTCCAGGGTATCTTCCTGACCCAGGTGATCATGGTATTTGGTCCTTTTTTTTTTCTTCTTTAAGAGTCCTTTTAGAGATGGCATGCTTCAGCAATTCAATTGCTTACTGATAAAATTGAGGTGGGGACTTTAGAGCACTTTATATTATTTGCCCAAGAAAAAAAACCAACCAACCAACCATAAAAATAAATATTAGTATATATCCAAGTAAATCATCTTTGGAATCACTGGCTTTGGAGAAATTGAAATCAAATGTGAAGGGCTAAATGGTGAGTTTTGTGAAGCTAAGGGCAAGTGAAGTCATATGCTTACAAAATAGCCAATTAAGAAAAGCAGTGAAATCCTAAACTAGGAATATGTTTCTAAAACTGGAGAGCAAAGGGTGGTTGTCTGAAAACTAAATCAACTTGGAGCTCAAAAGCAAGTAACTTCTTGGGTTAAACTCTTAGTAGCCTGGGGCCTGACCCATCCCACCATTGGAGGCCGATTTTGGCTCAGTAGAAGTAATTATTAGTGCTTAGCGTTGCCCAACAGTTAGATTTCCTTTGGGGATAGTGAGTTCTCTTTAAAGCAGAGGTTCAACACTTGGCAAAAGGAGGATCCAGTGTTGGACTAGAGGTTAGATGAGCTGACCTATGTTTCCTTGAATCCATGGATGGGGCCATCAAGAGAAGTGGAAACCAGAGAAACTTCTCTATTGATCACACCTCCACAGACAGGCATAAACTGTTCCTGGTGTCCAGCAGATGGATAAAGAGAGGCAACTGTGGCTGTAAGTGTGTTGGCTGCTGCTTTAAATGTCTTACAAATTCCTAGCTGCCACTTCCAATGAAGAAAGCATTCCATGCTGGGAACTAAAAGTAGATGCTCTTCAGGAGAATGTCACCAAGTAAAGATCCTCTTTAGTTTGTATTGCACATGGCCAAGACAGTAACAATGGTTCCTGTGTCCCCCAGATGTCCAGAGAAATTATATACATGATATATACATATACACATATTATGCCTTGCTTTTAGGAACCATTCTGAGGCAACCGATTTCTCCTCCCCCCGCCCATCCCCAGCCCCATGTTGTTGTTGTTTTTTTTAATTGACAGATAATTCACAATCATAAAGTTCACTCTTTTAAAGGCAACTGATTTTTATAGGCAGTTTGATGTGATAGTTACTCTAGGAAAGACTTTGGAAAAGGTGCTCCACTCAGCTAAAATAGCTCTTACTGGGTTTATGTACATCTTGCCTTGTTTCACCAAGGAGTTAAGGCAGTAATGTATTTGCATAAATAAAATTAGGCATTTGAAAGATAAAAAGGTTATTCCAACACAAGGAAAACGAAAGGCATGGAATTCACTCCCAACCTTGAAAATGTTAAGCATCAACTTTTGCTCCCCATAATGTACCAGGTAAGGAACTTTCTTTGACCAAATATTTGCTCAGCTCTGTCTCCTTCCCTATGACTCAAAAACAGTAGCTTACTAGTAAGAGTTCACAGTGCTGAATGTAACAAATCCAAAAAGAGAAGAAATTCAGGAAATTCACTCATATTTTCATCTTCTAAATATTCCTTCCTGCTTTTTTTGCACTCAGTTCCTTATGGGTCAAAGAGAAAGGGTTTGTGGGGAGCCCTCTGGCCCATCGTACAAACACCATTCTACCACAGGCAGGGGCAGACCCTTCTCTTGCATTTCTAGAATGCTTTATCCCCCATGCCACATCAACACCCCAATTTTCCATTTCTTTGCTATCTCTATTGCCAGTAACCACCTGTGTGATCATAGATGAGTGATTTGACCTGTCTAGGCTATCATCACACCTTTTAAGTGAGAAAGTTGGACTAGATGAACTCTGAGGTTCTCTTCCAGTGTTTCTTGCTTTAGTTTTCCCAAGTACCCATCATTTCCATTTCACAGGCCCTCAACCTCCCCACACACACCTACCACCACGGTAGTGTTTCCTGCCTTCCAGTTTGTCTTCAGAGACCTCAATCCACATATAAGAAGCAGGCAAAAATTTCAAGTCATCAATACGGTATCTGTCGTTGAAACAGTCAACTAAGTCTTTCTACATGGAAAGCAGACAGAAAGGGGTAAGGCAACAAAACCGAACACTCAAAAAAGAAACAACTTCTAGTTCAAAGTTAACCATCTTCAACAAAGTTTCAAACCAGCATGAAGTCATAAGCCAGGGTTCAAATTCTGGCCTGCGCCTTAATTAGCTCTGTGACCTTGAACAAGTTAACGTAGATTGTTCAGTCTCAAGTTTCCTTTGTGGGAAAAAAAGTGGGGACAGGGATAATACCTCATAAAGTTGTTGACGATTAAATGAGTATATGAAGTCCCCAATACAGCCCAGGACACAGGAGCTCAAATACAACAATAAACCATAATCGTGTAAAATAACCTAATTTGTATACTTTTCCTAAGTAAAGTCTACATTACCCTTTCCTTATCTCACTTTTTTCCTCCTAAGCAACCTGACCCCTACCCCAAATGCAGGTGTCAGATTCCTAAAAAGTCTGGAGGAAAGCTATGAAAAAATCAAGAGGCATGCATGTTTGTGGAAGAAACCAGCCAACCGGTTTAGAAAAATACTTTCACTGCCAGCTTTATGGTCCAAAATGTAGAGTGAGAAGTGATTACATCTCAGGAAAATTCCCAGTGCGGCGAGGAGTAGGCTGAGATGCAATACCCATAAAGTCCTCTCTGGCTGGGAAAAGAAAAGGGCAGAACCTTCATTCCGTCCCCAGCTGAGGAGATGAGGCGCTTCCACCTTCCGTGCTGCCCCCTGGTGGCGGCAAGAGCAGGCCTGGCATCGGCGCACGCTCTCCCGGGTGTTAGTTTTTGGAGCCAAGTACAAAATCTTTGGGTGGCCCTCCAGCACTGCTGTTCTGTCTGTCTGCGGTCGGGGAGCCAGGGAGGGGCTGCGCTCCCAGGACGGGGCCAGCCTCGGGATCCGGTTTGCTGCGTTTGGCCAGGTCCTCATTGTGAGCCTTGCGGATGTGGCGGTACAGGTCCCCTGACTGCGTGTAGCTGCGCAGGCAGTAGCGGCACTCGTAGGGTCGCTCCCGCGTGTGCACTGTGGCGTGACGACGCAGTGTGTAAGAGCATGAGAAGGTCTTCCCACATGTCTTGCAAGTCGGAACATCCTCAGTAAAACCCCCAAAGCTTCCTGGGGCTGCTTCATACTCAGAAGGCAGGTAGAGCGGCTCATGCATGGCGGATGGTGCAGGCAGGGGCGAGGTCACCAGCCCTCGGTGATACTGCCCTGGACCTGGCAGCAAATGGTAGGGGAGGTGAGGATCTGGCGGCAGGAAGTGGTCACTGGGCCCCACCTCCTCCAGTCCTGCTGCCCGTGGCTCCTCAAAGGCCTCTGGCTGGGGGGGCTGTCCACCATACACGGCTACTCCAGGAGGGAAAAGTCCCTCAGGTCCTCGAGGCTGTTCCTCTGACACGTCAGGCTCCTCATCAGAAATCACAATTGCTTCTACTTTCACCTGTACCAGCTCAGCTTCCGCGGGGGCTGGAGCCTCAGGTGGAACTGGGACTGCGGCTGAAGGTGGGGGATAGAAGCCTCGCAACGGTCCTCCAGTTGCCCTTGGTTCTGCCGCCCTCAGGCTCTCAGAACCCACAGCAAGGGGAGCCAGTGGCTCCACTGAAACAGTTGCGAGGCCCGCAGAGAAGTAGTTTGCAGGGCTGGTCTCTGTGGAGCTGCTGGGGCTGGCAAGAGAGACATCAGCCACCGGTAGAGGAGGTGCCCGCAGATGCGATGACTCAACCTCCACGCCAGGCTGTGTAGTGTCAGCCCCAGCTGGCATCGGTGGCTCATCTGGAGGACAGACGGGTGAGGGAGCTGCAGAGCCTTTCCATTCTCCTTTGCCCCAGTGCCCTGATGTCTCTGCTGATGCCAGCGAAGGCTGGGAACCACGGGGAGTGCTGGACAAAAACTCCAAATTAGGGGGTTGTGAGTTGGTTTCTTCTTCCTTCTTGGTACTGTCCGCCTCTGCCAGGGCCCGGGCTTGCAGCCGCCGC